CGTGAACTTCATCAAGATGCTTCAAAATGAGTTTATATTGCCTTCCAGAAAAAAAGTAATCTTTTATAAGATCTAAAAAAACTGGATAAGTGAAAAAATGTAGGTTATTACATACCATTGAGCTCTCTCTCAAATATATCGGACATGTTTTTGCTTGTGCCCGCCCTTTACACTCCGCCCTTTTTAAATTCTATTCTACCTGGTCGTTTGTGATCGGGCCCAGTCACTTTTTGAACGGGGCCCATCACTATTTGAATGGCCCCGATAACGGCATCTTTTCCCGTACCCAAGGACAGATTATACCTCCGGGCCACCATAGGTGGTGGAAGTGGACCAGCATCATCCGCCATTATGAAGTTAGTGTACTATAAACATAAATATAATGATAGCTGATGTACAGAACTGACTTGATTGAGAAAGTTTATTTAGATGAGAAAAAGGCAAAGAAGGAACTTTAAAGTTTCAGAACGGGAAAAAATTTTTAGCAGTTAACTACTTTTTAAGGTACTTTTGGATGAAATTTTAATATTTTTTTAATTGCTGCCATTTTAAAGTAAAAAAAAAGTTGTACAACTTGTGGTATTTTTAGATTTGTACCATGCACTGTTTAGAAGTTATAGATCATTGAACTCTAAATATTAAAAAAATTCCTGCATAACTTTTCATACTTTATACGCCATCTTTGATCTTGTGTCATTTCTGGATAATTCTGTATATTATAAAACTGGCGGGAAAAATTAATTACAAGGTGGGGTTAATTTATGACGTCATATTAGTCAAACCATTAATAAAATGGCCACCAGTATGTATTTCCTGACTATTGTTTATTTAGCTGTTTGATCTGGTGAATGCAGGCTCTACGAAGCTCTAAAGCTTGCAATCATGGCATAATGACTGCAAACACTCAATCAAGTTTGTATGCAGTAAATGCTTTTGTGATACACTGATGTTTGAAAGTCACGAAACTTTGAGAAATTGCAGCACATTTTGCAAAACTTGAAAAACTTTTGCCAAATGATGCAACATACGTCAATAGAAAATAATATTATAAAAACAATATTACAAAAAATTAAAGTACTCTCATCATGTTCAAGAATTCTTTCCTCAGTTTTTATCCATTTTACAAAGTTCAGTAAAGTTTAATGCATCTCCTTATTGAGAAAAAAATTGAAAAAATTATATATTGTAGAAAAAGTATAAAGAAAACAATTTTTGTCCCGAAATCTAAATTGTGCGTTCAGCCCGTTGTACCTTAAGTTATGAATGTTATTAAAGATTTAAAATTTTGAAAATTATGATTGTTTGAAAACTGTTGTTACAATGTGGGTAGGCTATTATCAAGAGTACATTATCCAGAGTACAAAATACCTAAACATAGTGTTTAATGGGCCCATCTCACTTGCTGCAAGTGTGTGCATTTTTAGGAAGTCACGGTTAGGATAGTTCTGTATATATCAGTGACAAATGTTGTTATAACCAACACATCTGTATAAACACTGATTGAAAACTACTGATGTATATGAACATGCCTTCCTAGAAATCTACAGACTAGCAGCAGGCCTCAATAGGACCGTTGGATACTCTTATCAGGTATTATGTATTCTTGCTATTTTTTTTATTTGTTTTTTGTAGTGGCTTGAAAGATTGATGCAGAAAGTATTGCGTAAAGAGTATCCAATGGCCCTAATGAGGCCTGTTGCAAGTGCGTGGATTTCTAAGCAGTCGCGTTTGCATACCTTAGTAGTTTTCAATCAATGTTTATCTAATTATGATTGAACTCAACCCCCTTGTTCCTTTTATTTCTTTAACAACCCTACATTTTTTAATTTATAAAAATTTTGTTTCCAAACGAGAGGATCTTGTTCGTCATTAAGCTTTTCCAGAGTCATATACGTCTCAATTTCTCTTCTGACTTATTGTTCTGGTGTACAGCTAGTGTTAGGTAAAGGACTTTAAGGCTGACTTGATTTTAGTTTGCTTTTCTTTGTTTCTCTGACAGTGGAGGGTCTCCAAAAGCTTAAAGGCAACTGGGATGGTGACTGCCACAAGTTGAAGTGAGAGGAATGAAAGAGTAACAACGTTAAAAGAAATTATCTCTGTTATATCTTAAATGCTGCTAATAAAATTATCCCTAGATCTAAGATCAAGGAAACAGGCTACTTCTATTAGGTGAAGAACATCATCTCCTTGATTTCTCCTGGAAATGTAAGTTGCAATATTCGAACGAAGTTCATTCATAAGTTCCTTATCACATGAGTTTTCCTTTGGGACAGATATGTTGAGGTTAACAATTGCCAAAACAGCAGTAACAGTTACGTATTGTTCACAGGACATAACATCAGTAAACTCAGCATGTGCTGAGAGAGCATCATTCATAGCAGAAAAAACATATTTATCTTGTAATTTTGGGAGGACAGTACAGGCTTCTCTATAGGCACTCAAGACAATTTTAATAACCTGCTCTTGCTCTAATATTCTTTTTACGATTTTCTACATTGAACCCCTTCTGGTTTTGCAGTCTTATATTATAATAATAATTAATTTTATTGATTAGTATACTATACATCTACAAATAATGTTAATGTGACTGAGTGAGATGAGAAAATGCTGTGGTATATTTCAGTTTAATTGAGCTCTTTGTAGCTCTCTTTTCTTTTTCAAGCTACATGAAAATGAAGTGACAATCCTTCTGGCAACTGCTGAAGCTGTGTTG